ATGATTTTCAGATTTCTTGGCAGGACCGAGGCCAAATGTACACTTACAGCAGCAAATTCCCTAGTAGCTCCCCAGTATCACCACAAGATCCTTGAGCTACAGAACATTTATGAAAACCACACTGCCATTTCTGCAGGTGTGTAACGTGTTTTGTTTTTCTGGTTACTCATCTCCTAAGAAAAATTTCCAACACACATAAATTGTCATTGAAACACTGTCTCCAAAAAGAATGCCTTGCGTGATCCTGGGAATGGAACTAGGATACTTTTGTCAGCGACCCTGTAAAGCATACCATCTTGTTGCATCACAGCTAATGCTCCAGGTAGGCAGTCAGTGTGTCTCATTACCCTCAGATGGGATAAAAATTACATCAGCGTCCACTTCAGCCATCTTCCCATTCTTCCTGGACAAGATTTGGTATGCATTCACAAATGTGATTACTTCCTAGACAAACATTGATATTGCTTGGTTTTCCTTTGCTGTTGAGCAAGCTCCCTGGAGGGAGACCTCACCTTTTGATGATTTTGTAAAATACGTTAAAACATGACATTCGTACCTCCCATATGCTGACTCCTCACTGCGTTTTCTTTCCAGCTTCGTCATCTTCCCCGATGACTGAAAAACCTCCCTCTTCTCCGTTGTCATACAACTTCTTCGAACTTCATCTTTCACACTTAAAAGGGAACAAGGAAGTTCCTTAAACGCAAGTGGAACTTTCAGTCATTTTGGTTTTAAAAGGAGACAGAGGCTTTCTATTTCCATGCTGCATGACAATAGAGGCATAGTAACAGCTGCTTTCCACCCCTGAGGAAGGGCTGTGGAATCGCACCCTGGTAGCATTTACTGGTACACCCACAGCAGTTAATTACTCCTGGCACAAGTCTACTTTCCCTGATGAGTGCTGCGTTAATCCCATTAAGGTGTACAAACGGATACTTGCTTGCAATATTTTTGATTTGACAGGGATGTGTCTACTTGGAGTGATACATGGCATTCAGATAGTCCCCAAGGATAGTTCCCTCCAGAGCTTGGTGTATCAGCCACCATGGTGGTTGACTAGAGAAGACCATGGCATGATTTCTCTTCTCAAGGTTAACCAGATAAGGCTGCAAATTGGAACATAAATTAAAACAAACTATGAATTTTTCCTCTAGACCTCTACTTTAGCCTAAGGCATGGAAATTCACAGTATTTGCATATGATATGCTTGAGAAGAAAATTTAAGTCTGTTACTATATATCCTAGTCTTGTTTAAAAATGATGCAAGCTTGCCTGTAGGGAAAAAAAATGAGCAATCCCCAGAGTTTTTCACAAAAAAAAAAAAAATCCCCAGATATCTGTGTGGTTCCTTGCTGGCTAACAACCAACAGAGAACCAAAGAACTTGCAACATAGCAATAGTAAAGGGCTGATTGTTCAGGGTGCCAGTACTCCTGGGTGTCATGTGTAGGTCCATAAAGCAGCGCTTGGTTATGAGAAACATCGACACGGTATCTTAGCATCCTGCCCAATATGTTCAAGTACAGTGCAGGGACACTTGGTTGCACTCTCACCTATTGCTGGAGCTGGTAGTATCCTACTTGCAAACGTTTGGGGCAAAAAAGTTTGTTTTCTGAAGCCTAGGATTTTTTATGCAGACTGATGAAGATGGTATTACTACTGTGAATGAGAAACACGTAAGAACTCACAAATACTGTAATTTCAGTGGATGCTGGATACAATAAACCTTAAAAAGAAAGGAGCTGTAAAATGGGTGATGTGTTTGTATCTTGGTGGACAACAGAAACCCCATCTTGTTCGGAGCTATAGGAACTTAAGATCTTATTAACAATTTTAAGGATATCCACTGAAAGCATGCCGGAGGAGCTGAACATCAGCTTTATACCTCACTCATGACATCTACCATTATTTCATTTAATCATTGTTATGATTCCACTTACACAGTCCACCAGCAGTTGGCATTTTCTTCCACACATGAACTAAACTTGTACAGCAGTCCATTACATTTTTTTAGTCATATTCCTTCTCCTGTTGCAAACACTACAGCCTAAAGAAGCAATCTCTGATCAAGCATTAGTGGCTTGCATTTATACTGCAGAATATTGAAGACTATCAGAAAGGAAAAACACCACTAAATCAGAGTGAAACATACCACAAACCTAATAATCCTCTGCCTTTATTCAAAATCTTAATTTTTTCTATGCAGGATGGCCACGTATATGCAGCCAGGTGGCTTGCAGCACTAAGCACTGGGCAGCACTGGGCCTTACCTCAACCCATGGTTGACAGCCAACAAAAGAGGAGTGATGCACTTTGACCAAAAACAACTCTGCAGTCTGCTAAGCTCTTCAGGGGCAAAGCATTTACCCCGATGTTCTCACCTATCTCACCTGAAAACAGCCTCCTGCTTGCAAATCTCCCTGGAAGCAAAAGTGGCATGGGCTTGCTTGCACCCAGAGCGATTTTTTGAGTCTAGGAGTTACCATACTAATGCTAGAAATTCAGCATTCAACAGGTGGCATTATCCTGATTGGCTCTCTGGCTATGAATTCATCCCTGACTGTAGCTAGGATTAGTTTTCATGTGCCGAGAGTCTGAGAGGTTTTTTACAGCATTCATAATTGGCCTCTCTGCTCCCACAGAGCTTTACAGTAGTAGTTTCCATTGCCCCGACAAAAGAAGGAGTTGAATGAATGCTGACAGTATTTGGGATCCCACCTGAGGAAAGTTTTGCACAGTGGGAGGCAGCCATCTGTTTTGTAATGTAAATGACAATAAGAGAGGACTAACCCACAGAGTGAAATGAAGAACAGTAGCAACAAAAGGGTAGAAGAATAGTAAACTGTAAGATACACCTGTACCTAGAAATTATGTCTTACAGTCTCAGTAATAGTGCTTGGACATATTAAAGTCCCAACAGCCCCATACCTGATGCACAGTTAACTGATGACCCAGCACTACTCGTCCAGGGCTTACTGCTTTCTGAACAAGGTGATGAAGCAGCTTAGCTCAGAGCAATACAGAGCAGGCTAATTAAGCCCTTTAAGTCCATCACAAACTTTAAACATTCCTATAGATAGATCACTGCAAATTACTCATTTTAAATGCAGTACCAGAGAGAAAAGGGGGAAAAAATGGAGAGAGAGAGGAGGGAGAGAGATTTTCCCTAAGAAAATAAATGCAGTAGTAGCAGAAGTGTGAATTCAGGTTTCTCCTTCTCTTGAATGCCATGTAAGGCATTCATGAGCGTCTGCCATGGGAGCGTGCAAGGATGCTCAGCACTTCTGAAGTGACGCACACAGCCAGACAGAAAGAGCAAACAAACCAAAAATAAAGTAAGGGGCAGCAGTGGCAGAAGGCTTGGGAGCTTTAAGATGAGAAACAACAATTGAAACTTCATTTTATTTCACTTTGAAGGTTTAATCAAACACACTGGCAAGACTAGAGAAGCTGGGCTGTGTGCAGAAAGCGGAACATGAGCCATCCAGAACCGGAAAGAAAGAGCTCTCTGTGTGCTATCACACACAGAAAGTAGGAGGCAGGAACTCCCTTCCCGCTGCATTTGCTTCTGAAGGTATCAGAAGGCAAAACCTGGACTCACCTCACTGGGTTGCTCCTGCCCTTTGGCACCTTGCAGCTGGACCCATCAATTTGGTGTTGGCCAAACATGCTGCTGGCTGTGTGCTTTATTCTTGTGGTTCATACCACAGCTCTGGCTGGGGAGAACACAACAGAATATAATTGCTATAGCTCAGGGAAGCAGGCACACGCTGACGGCAGCTACTGAAAGTCACTGTGTTGCTTGCAATTCAGTGCTAATATCTCCCAAGTGGGCAAAATTACTGCAGCTGTCTTTGCACTGTGGGCAGAATGGGACTTTAGATGAAGAGTGGTATTCTGCCTCTTTCCCAAGACGCTCTACCCAGGCTGTTCTGGAGCTGCCAACATCTGGCTTCTTTACAAAGCAGAGTCTGAGAGTCTGAGAGTCTCCTATCTCAATTCCTGTGTCAGCATCTCCCTGCACTCCATGTTATGCCCTCCCCATTCCAAAACCAGGATCAGTTCTTTCTCTGTTTTTCTCTATTTGGCAAAAGCAGATGTTGACACTCCCAAAGCCGACCAGCAGCTTGCCCTGAGCAGCTTGCCCCAGCCCATGGTAGCACATGCCTGAGCTGAATGGCCACGCTCATTCTGGGCAAAGAATCCCTCAGCGAAATGCCAAAATTCCCAGCACCCCTCCCTGTGTGGCGAAGGAGATAAGGCTGCAGATAGCAGGTAAACAACTGCGTGGCATTTCCTGCGCCTGCTGCCCCGGGGAGCCCTGGGTGCTGACCTTCCTCCACTGCTGTGTGCTGGAAACACCGGAGCGATGGGATGTGCCCAGATGTGGTTCACAGAAAGGTGCGCGTGTGACAACGTGTAACGTGGGCATGTGCAGCAGCTGAACCCAGGGCATCCAGTTTCACGTTTACAAGTAATCAAAACAGAACGAATGAAAATAGAACACAAGTAGAAGGAATTTCTGAAATTCTTAAAAACAAGAATAAAGATGCATTATGAGTAAAAGTAGTGAAAACAGGTATCAATGTATAAGACGTATAAAACACAATAAAACATAAGACAGGCCACGCCTGCGTGCAGGTACGAGGCTCTGCGGGCGGCTGCCGGGCTCATCCCCCGCCCCGACCCCCGGTCGAGGCCAGGTGAGCGGCGGCGCGGCCCGCAAGGAGTTACGGAAGGGGAGGAAAAATGACTTCATGCCTCTGCCTGGCCCGGCTCGCCTCCCCCCCCGGCCCCGTTTCACAATCCCAATGCTCTCGGACGGGGCGAGTGAGCGCTGTGTCAAACCCAGCGCAAGCACAGGGCACACACCCCCGTGTTCTCATGCCGGATTTTCCCGGACCATGAATAATCTCGAAGCCCCCTCGATAAATACACGTTCAGGGATGCCCGGAGCTCATTCGATCCGTCAGCCTCCCCGACGAGCAGAGAAGCCGCACCATGAACTTCACCGAGGGCTGCGAGGCGACGGGACGGCGGCCGGGGAGCGCTGGGAGCCGCCGCCGGAAAGCGCCCCGTCCCGGCCCCGCCGCGCTGCTGCTGCTGCTGCTGCCGCTGCTACTGCCGCCCGCCGCCGCCGCCCCGCTGCCCGCCGCCGCCGACTCGTCCGGGGAGGCCGGGCTGGAGGAGGAGGCGGGGGCGCGACGGGCGCTGCCCGACTGCGAGTCGCTGGCCTGGCTGCTGCACAGCCGCGCCGCCCGGCTTCAGGACGAGGTGGGTACGGGGCCGCGGCGGGGGACCCGCGGGCTGCGCCCGGGGCTTGGACGCGACGGCAGCTCTCGGTGTCTCTCCGTAGATGTGCGAGAAGTTCTCCGTCTGCGAGAACAGCATGGAGATGCTGGTCCGGAACAACCTCAACCTGCCCAAGGTGACGGAGGAGGACGGCTGCCTGCTCGCCGGCTTCGACGAGGCAAGGAACCGCTCCGCTCCTTCCTTGGGCCGCCTTCGGCCCAATCCGAGCGCCGCTGAATTCAGCGCGACGTGCCGGGCACCCCGAACTGCTCCTGATGTTCTCACTTCTCTCTCCACAGGAGAAATGCCTGAGGAAGCTCTCTAGCGGCCTGTTCGCCTTTCAGACCTACCTGGAATTCATTCAAGAAACTTTTGCTAGCGAAAAGCAGAATGTCGAATCGCTGTGCTACGGCACAAAGCACCTGGCGGCCACGATCCGGCAGATGGTGAGTCGGTGTGCGGGGCACTGCCGCGGCCGCTGGGACGTGCAGTGATGTGCAGTCAGGACATGCCCGAGGCTGAGCATTTCCCGCTGTTACTTATCCCATCAGCAGCAGGTGCTGGCTGCCTGTGCTGCTTTCCCTTATGACTAACTTTCAAGTTTTACAAGCTCGTGTTCTGTACTCTTCTTCCAATTTTCTGTTTCCATTCCTACCTTCCAGACAACAATCAAACTCATCAGACTCCTTTAAAAACAATGTGCTCAGGCACTCTGCTCAGAGCTGCACTTTGGTCCCCTCAGTGCTGGGACCACCGTGAAGTACAGTAACTTTGAAACCTCACAGAAATAACTGCAGATACAAACAGCTGATTTTCTTTCAATTTGATGAATGGAATGATATCCACTTCTGACTGCTGTTTTCTGCACTTTGGAGTGCTTTAAAAGATCATACTTCAAAACTGGCTTCATTCCTGCAGCACTTAATCACGCCCATAACCCTTCCCTTCCTATAACCCTTCCTACTTTGTCAGCAGTGAAACTATGGGTGAGTGAGGGCTGCCCAGGTGAAGGGGAACCAAGAACTGCAGAGCTCTCTGGCTGTGATTTCCTGCCAGGTGTTTTCAGCACTTGAGAAGGACTTTGTGTGCCTTTCCTACCACACTTTTTCGTGTTCCTCATTCTTTAAGTGAAAGGGAGCTGGACTTCTTTCTTTCACACTGTATTTGCTAAGAATAATAGTCCTGGCTTAAGGCAACTACCGGCTTCAAACTTGATATATTGTTTGTAGAAAGTTTGTTCAAGGGCTGGGTGAGACTGGCCTTCTGTGGAATGACGAGGGCTGAGGCATCAGAGCAGGTGGCACAAAACAGAGCGGGTGCACGGAGCTCTGTGCTTGTAGGGACTGTTGAGATTTTGAGAAAATCAGGAGCTATGGCTTGCAGGGTGGAAACTTCTTTATGAAAGCAGTCCGTGTAAGGCTGTTTGAGATGGGGATGGCAGGTGAAAGTAATCTGCTACTTGTGCTCCAGTCCATCCATTAGCAAGCTCCCTATTTGGATACCTAACACACTTGTGAGCGAGGATGCAGCAGCCAGTATGGTTTAGACCGAGCCACGTCCCCAGCCAGCACAGGGCAGCAGACACTGCGGGCACTTTGGGCCAGGCCACCCCAACCCCAACAAGCGTTAGTTGGAATTCTGGAAGAGCAGGGATAGGCGTACCTCAAAACCCAGCGCAGAGGTGGGGCTGCCGGCAGCTGTACAGAGAGGAGGGCTACGAAGCCGGGTGGAACACATTCGTACCTATGGTCTGACTCAACGTTCTGTTTCCCACAGGTGATAAATCCCGATGAAGTGATCATCCCAGACTCAGCCACCCAGAAATCCCTCCTCGCCAAGCTGAAGTCGGATAAGGCCTGGATAGAGAAAATCACCACGCACCTCATCCTCCGAGACTTTACTTCGTTTATGGAGAATACCGTGAGGGCCGTTCGCTATTTGAAAAACACCAGGAGTTTCAGTGCCTGAATGTTTTAGTTCGGGCACAGTCCTCTGTTACCGATCTGTCACGTGGCAGATGGCAGTGTTGTTCCGTTTCAGGAACCAGATAGTAACAATGGTTTGCATTTATAGACATTCTCATTTCCTTCTAGGAACCTATTTATTGTATTTAAAATATTTATTCTTTTCTAATGTTTTCTATTTATATGAAATATTTTCAATATTTAGAAATAACTTAAGCAAAACACCTGTTTCATTTCTTATGGTACTATTCAGAATATCAACTTATTTATTACGTATTCAATGCCAAGGAAAATGTCCAGAAGCCAGACTGTTGTATAACTTATGCTTTTAAAATATTTGAGAGATTGTATTTTTTATCTATTTATATTTTTTAAACAAATAAAAGCTCACTGGGAAAAAAAAAACAAACAGCCTGTCTGAACTTTGAATAGGACTGAAGAGCTACAGCGTATCCAGCGTCTAATGCCCAGAATTATCAAAATAAACCCTTTAAATAATTTAATCTGTATAATTAAATCAGCTATCTATGAAGGCTGCTCCAAATGTAATGCCTCCTATTTCATTGGGTCAGTCCGCTACGTCAAAGGTGGATGTTGGTGGTATGGCAGCAGAGGTTGAACCTTCCCTCAGTATCCCATTACATGTTGCCGTGTGACAGATGGCAGCAGAGGGACAGTCTGACAGAATGGCATCTGACATCGAAGTGAGGATGAAGCAAAGGTGTGCCACTGAATCCCTCCATGCAGACAGAATGGCACCTACTGACATTCATCAACACTTGCTGAATGTTTGTGGAGACCAAAAGTGGACGTGAGCACAGTGAGGCAGTGGGTGGTGTGTGCAACAGCAGTGTGAAAGACAAGCCATGTTTCAGACAGCCAACGCACAGCTTTCACACTACAGAATGAGGAGTGTCCTGATCAGCTCATCCACATGCATTGGCTAATGTGGTGGCTATACGGAATTACAATGTTTTGTAGCTGAGAACTTGCTCTATGAAACAGTGTTATTGTGCTCTTTGTTGTAGTTTCCATGGAAATATATGTAAGACACTACTTTCAGAGTGACCTACACAGGGCATCTATACATACATACACAGCACGATCAACATACAGTTCTTAAAACAGTGTATGTAATGCATACAGATGTACTGTACATCAGTGTGTACTTCACTGCATGCACAGCAGTACGAGCATGATAAAGCATCACTGCTCTCAAGAAACAAATGAATGAGTTCTTTCTATTTAATATAGAACACTCCATAAACCTGTAAATGTATTTAAGTGTATGCTTAAAAGTCAATCTAATTAAAACAAACAATATGGTCAGATACCAAATTAACAAGTTTGATTTTATCATCTGATTAGACACTGCTGTCTTCTAAGGGAATTCTCCAAATTGGATTAAACATCTGAGACAGAGATTTAGGTTAGATATTAGGAGGAAGTTTTTCACTCAGAGGGTGGTGACACTGGAACAGGTTGCCCAAGGAGGCTGTGGATGCCCCATCCCCGGAGGCATTCAAGGCCAGACTGGATGTGGCTCTGGGCAGCCTGGCCTGGTGGTTGGCAACCCTGCACATAGCAGGGGGGTTGAAGCTAGATGATCCTTTTCAACCCAGGCCATTCTATGATCCTGTGTTCTTCTCCCTTTCTCCTAAGAAGTGGAAAAAATCTTAAGTTCTTTCCCCAGGTGGAAAGAATTGACGTATTGTTGCAGCAATGTCAGTGACTCTTGGGATCTAATCCATCTGCCACAGAGCACGAATGCTAGTCACTGAGCAATGCAGAGGTAAAAATAGGTCCTTAGACTGAGTACCAAACCACTGAAATATTCCTTAGCTCTATCACCTCCTTTGTTGTGGCTGTGAACATCCTCTTATACCCAAACTTAGAGGAATTTCAGCTCATAGTACACACAAAGGATGGGCTCCCTTGAGCCTTGTTCTTCCAGCGTGAACAGCGGAACATTAATTACTCTCTCTGGAGCAGCACAATGAGGAGATGAAAGGTATGCTCTGGAATGTGGATAAGGATGTCAGTAAACTCTTCTCTTCCTCTGAGCGATCTTCTGATCCTCCACACAGACATTCCACTGCTGGGGATGCCAAAACAGTGAGCAGTCAGCTCACAGCCTGCATCTCAGAGGCTCAAAACAAAGCAAAATGCAACTGCTTTGCCCAATATGGTAAAACCATAGGCTCAAATTGTGCAACACCTCAGGAAAGAATGAAGAGACCTCAGAATGGTCATTTTCAAGAAGTCTGTGGTGAGTGAGATTTTCTTGCAAGACAGAAGATAGCACTTTAGTTGTCCTGCATGTGGTCTAAGAGACATAGAATCATAGAACAAAATACAGAAATCTGGTTGGTTTTTTCACAGCTTACCTTGGCAGAGATTTTCTTAGTGACTACTTGGTGAGAGAGCATTCTGGCACTTACCATGTCTGTGACATCTATGGGAAAGCCATGAGAATGACTAAATCATTTTGCTGTTTGTGAGTAATATGCAACAATCTATCTTAAAGCTACTGGGCTGCAGTCTTGCATGCACGTGACTATGAGAAGGAAATAAGGTAATTGAATCTGTTCTGGTCTTGATGAAATTCTAGAGTATCTTCAGTATGAATTCAGTAAGTGCCTTTAAAAATATAAAGTTCTCTGACTGAGGTAATGTATGAGGGGTCTCAATCTTGCTCCCTCTTAGCTACAGATAAGGGCTTAGATTGCAGCTACGAAAAGCACAGTCTATTCACAAGTACAGTATGAATCACACTGCCTCTGATTCACAAAGGAGTCCTCAGCGGGAATCCCGAGTTGGACCCTTTAAGCACTGTATTACTGTGACAGTAGCAGGGAACAAAACAAACAAAAAAACAGAAACATTCTGTCTCACCTCTACCAGCAGCAGTTGACAGATTGCCTAAGATCATTCTTAGTTACTGTGTACACTTCAGCTAAACAAACTCACTCTTTGGATTGAACTCCTTGAATTGCAGGAGGCACCTGAACTGCAGAGCAGTGAAATTTCACACAACATAGCTTAAATTAAACCCACATTCCCCAAAGGCACCCTTCAGCTGGTGGCTGCCTAAACTGTCCAGCATTCCAGTAAAGGTGTAAATGTTACATTTTGGGATGGAAGAGACAGCAAAGATCGCTGCTTACTGGACAGGAAGGTCAACCTCAAGTTTTTCCTGGAGGGAAGAGGATCACTGATGCTGCTGATGCAGTTGCTGAGTTGCCACAGTTTATCTGCAGCTCCTCCACAGACCCCTCCATAGAATCATGGAATCACATAGGTTGGAAAAAACCCTTAAGTCCAGCCATGAACCTGAGCTACCGAGTCCCACTGCTAACCATGTCCTTCAGTGCTACGTCCACACTTCTCTTAAATACCTCCAGGGATAGGGACACCACCATTTCCCTGCTCAGCCTGTTCCAATGCCTGATTAACCTCTTCATGAAAAGATTCTTCCTAACGTCCAATTTAAGCCTCCTCTTAAGCAGAAAGTACAACAGATTCTTGAAAAAGTCTGTCTCCATTTCTCGTACCTTTGCTGACATTAATGAAGGCTGATGGCTGTGAGGTTAGCAAGACAGAGCTGGTGCTACAGAAGTGGAGAAGCTACAGTACCAACGGATCTGATGAGTAATGAGCCATCAGATGAGCTCAGCAAACTTGTGAAACTTCCCCTGACTTTTGCACTATTACCTGCAACTAATAATTTTTCAGCATTCAGTTCACATGATGAAATGGCAGAAAGGTGAATATACAACAGTACCTATCAAGTCAAAACCTAAAGTTCCAGAACTGCTGCTGAATATATATACTATTACAAACCTTGGGTATTTGATAGGAAACTTTCTTTAAACTTCTGTTTTTCAAGTTGAATTATTAAACAGAATTTCACTGAGAGATCTGAAATTGTTTTCTTCTTCCTGGTAAGAGGAAAAATGAAACGAACACTCTCACACAGAAAATATGATCTCTGTAGACTCCAACACCAAAATACCATTTCCTCCCTTCTTCACCATACAAACAAATTTCTGCAATTTCAACGCGTTTACCCAAACCTTGGAATACTTTCAAGGCAGACTTTGGGGGCTCTCAAATAACACAGTAGACAAATATCAATAGATATAATTCTAAACTCAGCATCATAGAAATAGGGCCAAAATGATGCACACAAATTATATTAACAGTTTTATTACCTCAGAGAATCCCTGCTGCTGCACACACACACAAAAGCACCATCACCTATGGAAAGTTCCAAGTCCATTCCTCAGCTTGGATGAACTGCCTGCTACAACACCACTGGTGCACAGCAACTGTCCTTGCCTCTCCTTACACTTATCCCTCCTGCTCACATGGCTCAGTGGCCTGGCACTGGGCTATAAGAGAAAACAGAATTTGTGAGAAGGGAGATCGTTTAGGATGAAGGCAGACGTACAGACGATCTTCCAGTCTTGCTGAGAAAGACCTGTTTTCCAGTTGCTGCACCTTGAATTGCACCATTTGGGAAGTTTCCACGAGAATAAAGTGGATCCAGAGAAATCACATAACGATGTAGTTGCAAATCCATGTTTACCTAATTTCCCAGGTCAGTAACTGCTCACCGCTTTGCACTTACTTTTTCTAATTTTTGACAGAAACTTGATTTCTTAATTGCAAGAAAATAGGAGTAAATCCCCTTTTCCACTTAGCAGATTTGCATCTCCTCTGCCTTACCCATTCCCTAATCCTGAATTAATATAAACATAATCAAGAAACAATGCATGTAAGCCACAAACAGTTACTGCATCACATACCATCATGGAAAACTATTTAGAAATTGCAATTAAATAGTCTGTTTTAAAAACTAAATTAGTCATATGACATTAAACCAGGATGTGGTTTTTACTTCTGTGGTGAGAACAGATGTAATGAGCTTTTATTTCCAAAAGTCATCACTGGTATCATCATAGCTTAAATTCCAACTCCATAATGAGGTGTTTCCAAAAATACCCAGATTGCTTTGGCAAATTTTCCTGTTAAAAATGTGTTAGATCCCTGTTTCATTAACACGATGCAGCTAAGCCATGGAAAGCACTGTCATCTAGAGCCATCTTGCTGCACAGACAAGAAGCAATGGTTTTAGACACAGCCAACACGTGGGCCTGTTGTTACAAAATTATGAAAGTTGCTTTGGTTTGCAGTGTTTACATGTTTGAAAACCGTATGATAAAAACTTTAAGTTTTACTGATGATTAATTAGGAGACCAAAATTACCATACACCAAGACCAAAACAGCCCCCAAACTCACAAACTCCCCAAGCACAACACATCAAGCACCACCAGGACTCTGCTGCTCCCTGTCTGATGTGCATATTTGTCTTTTTCTCTCATCTCATCTATTTTCCACTTCCAAAAATCTTGTCTTTTATCCTCTTCTGATCAATCCTCGTCTTCTTTTTTTCTCCCAGAACCTAAGCTTTTTTTCTTGTTTTTCTTTAGCCTAATGTCTCGATCCCCGTTCACTCTGTTAGTATGACAGAGAACGAAATACTCAGAAGGCAGGACATTACAGCACTCCCTGCCCACCATGCCTTCCCAATACTCCACTAGTGCTTCACATGCAGCCTGGCTACCAGAGGAGAAACAGCCCAGTTCTTCGTCCCTGGCTTCTTCATAGCTGCTCTCCTCAGACACCAATCTGAGGTGACACCATTACCTCGTGTCACTCTTGCAGGAAGAGGCCACAGCCCCTGTGGCCAGCCCCTTCTGGCATGGAGCAATGTTATCTTCTTCATATGTGAGGAGATGAAGTACAGCTCATTCTTCTAATATTAATATCCCCGTATTCATATTTGGCAAGCAGAATAGTGAGCTACAGCAACTTTTGATCTTCCTACGAGTGGCCCAGGCAAAAACGTTCCCAAGCATAAACTTGAGTTCAGCTGTGGAATTCGGAGTATGCTTCTCTGTAAACTACCATCACTGACTTCATTTCAAATCTGAGTTCACAGTGGTCTCAAAGGAGCACACCATAAGCCTCATTACTGAAAAGAATCTGCTTGGCTACAGAAGCCACTGATTCACTTGACAGAGATTTACTGATCAATAGAGGGAAGCAGGAATTTGAACAGTGAAAGGTTCCATGTTAATGACTTTCCAGAACCGTATCTGATTTTTAAAAAGAACAATAACTGCAGCCAATTAGCAATAGAGAACGACCAAAAGTTTGCCATCCGGTGTGCTTAAAGTGAAATTCTGAACGTAAGTATTGTAATATTGATCCAATAATTCCAGATCTTAAAGTAAGCTGAACTGCAACTACTTAGACGGGAAATTTACAGCAGTGAATCCAGTCTGTGCTTAATATATCCATGCTTACGTACATACTTTTCTTAAAAGAGACAAGAACAGTTCCCAATTCTCTGCCTATTGCCAAATACTACAATTCTTGGCAAGCACAGAGCAACCATGTGGTGGTTAAGACCCACAAACCACATCCGCAAATGTCTGACACTGGATAGAACATGAGAAATACTTCTGCAGGTGTTTTGGTACATACACAGTTGCATTTTGAGCAGCCTTGTGGAATGCCAAAGTCGATTTTAAGAAATCCACGTTATTTTGCACTGGACAGCTTCTCTCTTAATATTGAGTATCTAAGGTCACGCCAACAGATTCAGTGAAAGGAAATCGTTCCTGACCATGATCAAAGCCACTCTCAGATTATTTCATCCTCATTGTAACAGGATCAGTCAAGAAAAAGGGCTCTGAATTTCAACGCTTCCATAATGAAAGACAGTTAAATTGCAGTTAAATTATTCTCAAGTTACCATTAGAAAAGCTGCAATATCAACAGGAAACAGGATCACAACAGTATTCTGCATTCAGAACTTGCTCTTTGCCCATCCGCAATCGGTCATCATCTGCTATTCCACCATTCTGTGACATTTAATTATTGTGACCAATTGGACTTCAAGGAACATGCTGCTTTATGTTACCTTAGCTTCCCACCTCCCACTTTTTTTTTTAATCCTTGTCTTTTAATTTATTTCTTCTCTTGGCTCATTTCTCATTTTTTCTCCATTTCTCATAAGCATTTTACCACGACTTCCAACAGCAGATGAGAGACTGAGGCATCTCCTACTCACCACTGAATGTACAGTCAGAAAATCCGGGTTAAGCTGATCAAGAATATCTTTTTTCAGCGTTAACTGGGAGCAAACAAGATTTTATCTTCTTAAATACAGTGATTTTGTCACATACTCCTACCATCACTCCCGAACTGTGGAAAAAGGACAAGGGGCAATGGTTTTAAACTGGGAGAGGGTAGATTTAGACTAGATTTCAGGGAGAAATTCTTCACTGTGAGGGTGGTGAGACACTGAAACAGGCTGCCCAGTCGGGCTGTGAATACCTCTTTCCTGGAGGCATTCAGGGTCAGGCCAGATGGGGCTGTGAGCAACCTGGTCTAGAGGGAGGTGTCCCTGCCTGTAGCAGGGGGTTTATAACTAGATGATCTTCAAGGTCCCTTCTAACCCAAAGCACTCTATGATTCTGGTTATTATGAAGAAAAATCTCTACCTGAAATTCATACTTGCTATGTAGATCCAAGAGGGTTGAACGTTGCCAAATTTACCAAAATCAATGGTTACTTATATTTATGATTATATATAGTTACATCCATATTTAAATGGTTAAATACATTTATGGTTAAAGGAACTGTCACTTTATGTAATAAAGACTTCAAAACAACACATATCCATTTCAAACTAGATTTAATTTTACCATAATCCAAATAAGTTACATCCATATAAACTCCATTGTGTTGTATGTACAACCTATGTCATTAGCAAGCTGAGAGAGTAAGCTGGTGAAAGCATTCGCCTCATCCTCTGGAACGTATGAATCTTCAAACACTTTCTCTGTCCATCGGCTGGTTCTAGAGCAGGACAGCCACATCTTTCATCCCCAAAGCAGACTGAAAGGGGAGGGGGGAGGAAATGAAAGTCAGATTTGCAGTACGTTCTTGTTTTTAAATAAGTTTCTCTAAAAAGCAAGTCAGAACAAACAGCCCTATAAAAATACAGCATAAATGCTACCAAAAAAAAAACCCACAAAAACCAGCCAGAATACATTGCAACAAAGCTACCTACCCAGAAAAAGGAGAACTTGTAAGCCTCAGACTAGACCTAAATGCATTTCTGTTACCTGTACACATACTCTGGTATCAAATGCATACTTTATGCTCTGCAGACACGTTCAATACAAGAAAAAAATCTCAAGCTGCTAGTGAAACTGAACACAGGAACACTGCCAGCAAACAAACAACTTGAGCAAATGACACCATAAGACAAAAGATTTTACTGAAACTGTAACATGACCTTGACATTTTTCTCATTGTTTCTACTGTTAGAAGTAGCTCCTTTATATGGTGTGAGGCAAAAATAATGAATATATAATTTTGCAAACAATGCAGACCATCAATTATTTGTCTTAGCAGTACCTGGCTCTGTGCTGTTGTCAAATTTCAAGATCATTAAAAGAGCCACATTCCCTTCAAAATCTTAATTTTAAAAGTCTGACCCATGGTTACGCTTCAATAGAACTCAAACCCCACAAGAATTTAAGTATTACTAATGCCAGGACATTGCAGTGGTGCCAAGTTGTCCCATAACAAAGAGGCAATATGAGCAAATGCATTTTGATCCACTGCAACGACAAATACTGAAGGATGTATCTCTGTATTTAATGCCGTTTTTAAGCAGCTTTACAACCATATTTACAAAGAGGGAAGGAGAATGGATTCTGGTTATAAATCCCTGTTAGAAGTATAAGTAATTATTTCTAGGTGCAAAAAGAAACTTGCATAGAACACCTCTAAAACAGATTACAAGGGCAGCTTCCACTCAAAAAGGCACAGGAAGTCCCATATATTAAAAAAAAATGCACAGGATTCAGAACAAAACACTGAGGCTCTTACAAGAACTTGTGTTTCGCTGTTTTTTCTAGTTTTGATTTTAAAAGAAAAAATAACCTGACCAGCTATACTATCACCCAAAACCAACTAAAACAGTGGATAAAACACCTCTTGCTGTTTAGTGTGAACAACCAGAGGTAACACCTAAAACTGTGACCATGAGAGCTCTGCTTTTGCATGTACATTTGGACACAACACATACCTCCAGATGGTTGGCTCGGGCATTCCTGGATCTGCACCCCTCCTAAAACCTGAACAGAAATAAACATTAGATAAACACACACGTGTATGTGTAGACTTCTACACAGCTAACACAGTATCAGATTATTCCAGTTCATTAAACTGAGATGCAAAAGGAGGGGGGGAACTGTGATTCACGAAGTTGTAGACTCACCTCAACAGAAAAGTAACATTAACCAGGGTTAGAAAACAGGCAAAATAAATACAAGTGTACCATTTTTCTTTTTTTTTTTTTTTAATTTTTTTTTTTTTAAACTCTTACCTGTATCTCTATCTGATTTAAAATTCAGGAACAATTGAATTTGAAGCTGTGAGAGATGATGGAAATTATTTACCCTGAAGATCCCGGCACACACACATGCATGCACATATACATAACTACCAATGAGATTTTAAATGTTGCTGAGAATGCAACTGAATGAGTCAGCACCAGCAGTGACACCTATACCTGGTATAAGCAACCACTGTGAGCCTTAACAAGCAGCATTCTGTAATGAACTTACATTTCTATTTCAGTAACTGTTTATTTAATTCAGGGTGAAAGAATTCTAAATGTTCAATTGATTAAACTTAGAACGTTTTGTTCTAACTGCCTTGCAGGGCAAGTTAATTACAAAGAGTTCATCTCCAGCTAACGACTTTAACTACTGATTCACTAAGGCAAACGAATGCTAGATAAGCAATTCAAGGTTCAGTTTATCAAACAGCTTTCTTGCTGGACTGTAAATTAAGTCTTGAAGCACAATTATACATGACGTACGCTGTTCAACATGCTTTCCCACAAATGCTTGATAGAAATGGATGCTATACGGAAAATATATTATTCCTCTCCCTTACAGATTATAACGACAGCCCACCTAAAACACAGGCCATGAAGGTTAATGGAAAAGCTTCCATTAATGTGGTGGGCACTAGGTTACCTTTTTGAAGATAACCTTGTCAGACTTAGACTATTAAATATTTTGGTCTGTTGCCTTTTGTGGCCACACTTACCAATAAAATTGCTTTGAAATACATGAAGTTGTGTTAGCAGTCATACTACGTGTGTGTGTGACACAGATTTAGGAAACAGTACTAGGGAATAAGGGCCAGAAATATTACATAAGCAATCCAGTTTCACAGAACTGTACTGGCCTAATTTACCTACTTCACACAGGAGCAGTCACTTCAAAGCAAGCATAAAAACACCTACCAACGAGCTGCAATTGCACAGAGCACACTTCCTCGCATGTGTCCTGAATATCCCACCCCAACCTAGGTCTTTCACTGAAACATTCCATTGGTTACAGTGCATTTCATACATATGGGCCGATACAAACTGGGATCAGCAGCACCAAGCACTGCAGAGCCGCTGTAACTGTAATAGAGGATTCAGTACTACAGACTTCCGAGTCTGTGCCACTTCCAGGGGTCAGGCAAGGGTGGCACCTGTATTGGTGTCCCTTCATTAATCACAGCACGAAAACTGCTCAGGCGGCAATGCGGGCTGCTGGGGGAGCAGTACATTTATCTGTCGGAGGCACAAAACAAAGCTCCTACAACCCAGTTCCTTACAGTTACAGAAGTACGCAGGCATCCAGGCAGAGGTACAACTGCCCACACAGTGCACCAGCAGGACGTAACACTCGCGTTACATAAGTGCGCATGGTGCCACAGAGCAGCTCAGGCTGCCCAGAGAGGTTGTGGATGCCCTGTCCATCCCTGCAGGTGTTCAAGGCCAGGTTGGATGGGGCCCTGGGCAGCCTGGTCTACTATTAAATGGGGAGGTTGGTAGCCCTGCCTGTGGTAGGGGGGTTGGAGATTCGTGATTCAGGATGCTCGTTCCAACCCTGGCCATCCTGTGATCTCTCCCTAAAGGCGGAGCCCTCGCAAAGCCCCGCCGGATCGAAGCAGGTAGCGAAACGCTGCGGGAATCCCCGCCCCCAAACCCATCAATTTTAAAATAATCAATATACTAAGGATGGGAACGCAATATCCTAACGTTGCCTAACGCGGCAGAGTTCAAAGCGACCTTCTGTACCAGTTAAAGCCCGCCGGCTATCCATCAGCCCGCCTGCCCCCTGCACCAACCACCCCCCCGGCCCCCCCGCGTCCCCCCGCACCCCCGCCCTCCCCACGCCCGCTCGCCCCCGGCCGCCCCGACCTCGTTCCCCGACCTCGTTCCCCGCCCCGGGACCGGGGCCGGCCCCCAGCCGTGCAATGCGGGCCGCTGCACGCCGGCGCCTGCCGTCACTGACCTAGGTAGAGCACGACCGGGATGAAGCCCCAGCGGATGGCGAACTGACCGCCCTTGAAGAGCTGCTGCAGCCGCTGCTTGGCCTCCTTGCTGAGCTTCGGCATGCCGGCGGCGGGGAGAGAGAGGAGCGGCCCGCCCGCGGACGTTACTCGGCTGCGGTGGGCGGCGCTCCGGGGGCCCTTCCGGGGGCGGTGAGCAGGGGTTCGTTTGGGGCGGAGGCCGCCCTCGTTTGTCCGCGGGCCGTTCTTGCGCCCCGACGTGCCTCTGCGCGCCGCTCTCTGCCGAGGCTGCGGGTAAGTGAAGGGTAGAGATGGAGCGCCGAGAGCAGCGCTTCCGGGTGACGCCGAAAACGGCATTCGCGTTGCGCTGTCCCAGCGTGCGCCGTGTCTCACGTGGCCCGCTGCCTTTGGCTGCCGCGGCGGACGCGGCTCTGCGGCTGTTCGGTGCCGCCTGGGGAGCAGCGCGGTCGGGAGCGGCGGGCTGTGCCAGGGCTGCTCCCAAAGCTGGGAGGGGATCCAGTTGTGTATGGAAACCGGGGGGGGGGGAGAGGGGAGAATATCCTAGCGGATAAATCACAGCTTGTGGCACTGCAGACATCCACGTAGTTCCTTATAGAATCATTAGCGCTGGAAAAGACCACCGAGATCCTCTAGTCCAACCGCCAACCCATCCCCACTGCCCGTGTCCTTCAGTGCTACATCCACGCGCTTCCTGAACACCTCCAGGGCTGCTGGCTCCCCCACCTCCCTGGGCAGCCCATTTCAGGGCATCCCCATTCCTTATGAAAATATTTTTGCCTAATCCCCAACCTGATTTGTTTATAATCGCAGTTTACCAGCCAGATGCAGTTATAAAGTTCTGCATATGTTACGTGTTGGTTTGCTTAAGGCAACAGATGGCTTGCAGTTCAGCAGCTCACTTGTCGCATTAACAAAAGGGCAGTACTTTTCGATTAAAAAATAATTCAAATCCAGGATCATAATAAATATCACTTACATAGCTTTTTCTATATTTATTCTTCCAGTACACAGATGCATATGCTGCCTGTAAGAGATGATGAAGATACAAGTTCATAGCTTGCTCCTTGCTTCTTAGATATGGACAGGTGACAATCTACAAGCCACATGAGTGATCCTCAGCTGCCTTGCCACTCTCTACCAGTAATCAAAGTGTGGGGGACACAGAAGTGTCTTGGTGATGGGATGACAAACCTGCTGTATGTCAGGGTATAGAATGCACAAACAGCCTTTGTTCATGAAATCCAGAGCACATGTACTCACCTATGCATTGAACAGGAGAGGAAAAGTCAGTATCACATGGTAACATATGTAATGATGTCTAACAGGTAAAGCTGAGGCTTGGAGTCCATGAGTGGCTTCATTGTCAGCTGAACAGCTTATCCCTGTTGGGGTTAGGCAGCATTGTCATGGTTCAGTAGGTGAACATCAGTATGAAGGGGACTGTGAGTCTACATGTTCTCCAAAGAAGAGTATGCCTTCATATGTTCTCAGACACTAGGAACCAACAAAACATTCTCTAAATAATGCCAGCCATAGAACTTGTTGTGTCGATTGACTCTGTTAGTTATGCTTGATGAGGATTGCCAACAACCAATTCTTTCTGCAGCAGGTGGGCTGCTGGTGTAGGTAGAAAAATACTGGTAATTCATACTTCACTGCACTTCAAAAAGACAAATTTTCTCAATATAATGTTCCAGTCAGAGCTTTATCCAGTTGTTAAGCAAACACATTTTGTTATTGTTAGCAGATTAATGAGGCGCTTTCAGTAACAAATCCAGAATTTGTGGAACATATTAATGAAGATTTTTCTGTGGCAATCTTAGGCAGCTAATAACACAGACACCATAGAAGGCGGAACTGCTTCTGAAATGCTCTGTCAGTTGTTTTTACCAGCTAGTATTAAAGGTTATTTTGTACTTAGCAAAGTGGTCACACATTCCTGCTTTGTCACATCTAGCACGGTAGTTCTGCATCAGCGTGTTGCTGTATTTCCATTCCTTAAATTGAGTACTTTATGCCTATTGTTACTTTTTTTTTTTTTAATTATCTTTTATTAAAGCTGGAAATTTGAAGTCAGTAATGACTGCTCATGTTCAACTTAGAAGTGGCATCTTCCCTCCCAAGAACAGCTTTTATAAAATACTCTTTAAAGATCGTGAATCCTGCTGTACCATGCCGTGTGTCAGTTCCTTTGTGACTGCCATACCCATTGCATAGCACTAACAAATTTAGATCTTTCCACTTCTTGCCTCTAAGGAGATGTTTTCTTCAATTTTAGGTAATTGTAGTGCAAGTAGGATTCATAAGGCCAAGTGTACTAAATAACTGATCCAAATGATTTAACAGCTCTGTCTTTTTCAGGTATAAACCTGTTTAACTGTTTCTAGTTACATCAGTATGGATGTTCTTGAGAAAGGGTATTCCTAAAAATGTGCCATCTGTGCTCCTTCTTCCATCCTTCACATATTGAGTCAAGGAATTATTTTCAGAGAACAGAAACTTTCCTTGATAGCTCTCATTTCTTGCATCTGCAGTGTGTTATGACTGGACATCATGTTTTACTTTATTATGATAATTAAGCTGTCTTTTGTGCCCTTGTAAGGATGGTCCTTTTCTTCCATTCCATTTTAATGTTCATTTAATACATCCCAGCTATTCTGCAGTACCGTTGGTCTAGGAAACGCAGATTTTCAGTTTGCAGAGACTACATTTTGCAGAGATAAATAGAAATGGAAAGCACTGCTGCAGCCAAAAAAAACTAAGGCTATGCAATTGTGCTGCTTGGGAAATGCCAGAATTCTGTGACATCTCATTTTCTCTTGATAGTTGTAAAAGCAATAATACTTGGGCTTAAATATGTTCGGGTTTCTTAATTTAGCATATTTTCAAAACATATTTGAAATACAGAGCAGAGATGCATATAAATTTTTTTTCTGTCTGGATTACTGTCTCTTTCATATGATTTTCTGTGTGATACTCCATTGGCTGTACTCTGGCCACTGTAGGGTATTGGATAGCTGCCTTGCACAGAGATCTCAACAAATTAAGGGGCTGACAATAATCAACCTCATGAAGTTTAACAAGAGCAAGTGCTGCATTCTGTACCTGGGCTGGGGCAATCCTGGCTGTACATGCAGACTTGGGAACAAGAGGATTGAGATTTAATATGGAATTGAGAGCAAACACAATAATAATATTATTTTCCATTTCAGCTCCTGAAGCCAGTGAAGGAGAAACAGCAGTCTGAGATGAAACAACATTCAACAAAACCTCATCAAATGCTTTCAGAGGTCTCTGAAAAAAAAGTATTGTTGTGCTTAAAAATTGAATATTATCTGCTACTCAACTTTATTTTCATTCGGAACCTGACTGTCCCATTCTCCTCATTTTCATTTAAGAATGAAAATGTTGCATTAAAGATACTGCTACCTTTCTGTAAGTGGTTACTCTAAAAACATCACAGTTCTTATATGCACATTGCTGTGATTGCAGTATTTGGCCAGGGATGAAAACAATCATCTGATTACTTGCATACTTACAGTGATATGCAGAAGTCTGATGGATTAAAGGATTTTCTGAGGCCAAAACCAATATCCGTATTCTCTCATTCTTTGTTTTTAAATTAACTTTTGGGTTTTTGTTTTGTTTTAAAGCATCTGAGGAGAGCAACTGTCAATGGCTTTAGAAAGGTTTTCCTCAAAAAACATTTGAATGCATACTTTCTAATTGTCAACCAATCTCATCCAGAGATAAAATCTGAAAAGATTTTATAGGATTTAAAAGGTCTGCCTGTTTTAGGCAGATTCTTACTATGATGGGAACAAATGAGGAAAAGAATGATGATATTTCTACAACAGTCTTTGCTCTTACTGTCTTTGTTTATACCAATTCCAACCTTAGTACATTGAATTAAGGTTAGGCAACCTTAAAACAGAGAATGTAAGGTCTTTATCATAGTTTACACAAAAATGGATATGAAAATGAGAACATGGATGTGGAGCATTTGAAAAATAAGAATTGTAATTAAAATTCATATACAACCTTTTTTTAGAGTATCTGCTCTCAGCATTGACATACTGACAGCCTGAGACACTTACCTGCAGTGTTCCTTTGGACTCTTTCCAGTAGTGCATAGAGCACTGTCACCATATGGGAAAATACTCACCGGTGTTTCAGTGTGGCATTGCTGTTGCTTTTCACTTGGGATTACTAAAAAGCTCCTATAGTTGATCTACAAGGGCAAAATTGAGACGTTCTGGATACTGGGGTTATTTTTTCAAGGAGGGTGATTTGTAGCAGCAGTGCATATGGCACTAATCAATGAGAGTTGAGAAGACTTTGGCCTAGCATCCTGCCCAAAGAAAAAGAAAAGAGGTTACAAGAGATTTGCTATGTTCCTTATCATTGCTTCATATGAAACAATATACGTACTCCTGAAGTTATTATTTTGAATCATTTCTGCAATAATTTTATCAGGTGCATAGGATATTCAAGCAACTTTTGAAAATTCCTTATGTTCTGCATTATAAAGTCTGTTGTCCGTACTTGGCACAGACTACAAATTTGACCCTTATTTTCAAGCATTTAAAGGCCCAAAATAAAATTATCATTCTGTAACACTTTTTTTCTTACATTTATTCAAGTTTGCATTAACTATATATCCAGCAAAATTGCATTTTACTCCTTCATCTTAGCCTTAAGTAGCAGTCACAGGAGATTAAATGCGGTTCAGCATAATGAAGCATGAAGATGACAAGAAAAATGAACCAGAGGTGCCTTGTCTCCCAGTTCATAGCAGTACAAATTTTATATTCCAGACACGAATGCCACCTTGGGATTGAAATCGTACTGTGTGAATGTGTGTAAGTATTATTTTCCAATTACCTTCCTGCTTTAAATGTAGAAAACGAGTCCTCCTGAATTAAGAGATGTGTTAATTGCATGTGGGATTTGTGATGGAAAGTTCTCTCTAAAATAAACAGTAATAGAAGTTGGTCTTTCACCTATCAGGAGGAAAACTTGCTTCTAGTGAGAGAATGCTAGACTGGACTGACACTGGTCTCTACTGGTCTCTTTTATGACGTTATTACTGAACTGACATATATAGCACAGTATATTAGAACTGTTAATTGTATCATAGCATAATATTTTTCT